TGGTGTCCCCAATTTTTTTTTTCTTCTCCCTCTGCTGAGGGCTACTTATGTGCTACTGGTCCATAATTGAGCACCTACCACCGTGACACTTGATCGTGGGAATTGTCTTCAGAGGTATCGCGATCACTGGAAGGAACTGAAGCTATGTGTGAGGAAAGGTGTTATAGAACGCAAGGGGCTACCCTGTACAGGCTTTGAGTCAGTAAATCGAAAGCTGTGGGACTCAGTGCGCAAGGTTGCCGAATGACTCTGCCAAAACTTCAGTGACTCAGCCCGCGTTGCTGTCTGTCGAATCTGTCGTCTCGCTTGTTTGCATGCTCCCTCGCTGTTGTTGACTAGTCTTTCGCCCGAAAAGCCAACAAGTGTTCGCATTTCGCCTCATTTATGAGCGCCCTACGGTTTCCTCTGCTTTTCTTCACGGGTAGGCAATGAAATTGGCAATTTTCCATACACCTCTGTTTTCCAGCCCCGCTACTTGAGAATTCTCGACAGCTTATCTTGAAATCTTCGTTAAGGAGCACGCCGCGCGTTCGAACACGGTTATTTGCTCATCTCTGGTACTAGTGACAAACTGGTAAACAACACAAAAGTGAAGAAAAAACCCCAAAGACCGCCGGAATTGTCCATAAAAGTCCACACTGAATTTTCACTTATACGTGCTTAATACGAAGAAGGGGCGTAGTCGGACCAGTCCTCACTTGTTACTGCGAGCTCTTTCTCCTTCTCACCGGAACATCGGAAATGTTCATCGGAGATCGGTGCTATTCTAGACTATTTATTCATGATGAAGACCTCGCGCAGGGACAGCAATCGAATCTCAAAGAAATATGGGAATAAGTTCGACGCTTATCTCGCTCAAACGCGGCAATCCGCTCTTCTGATATTATGGCGCTACTTCTCCCTATCAGTGCGTGGCCGGGGTGGATGTCAGCTACCCTAAAGTCTGGCAGATATAGTGTAGTTCGCTGCGGACGGTTGGGCGTGTCAGTGCGGCTGCGTTTGGCGCGGTGCCAAACTCGTTCTACACCAGTTGTTGAAGCGGGCAAGTGACAATACTGTATCATATCCTTCGTATTACTCGTTTTCTACCACTTTTTGTCGCATGCGCTCTTCAACAAGAAGGCAGAGAACGGCTCTGATAGGGTGACACACTCATACTGGCTGACACGCCCAACCGTCCGCAGAGAACTAGAGTGTAAGTCCGCCATCAAATAAGAGCAGCAACATCGCGATCTCCGCGATAATTTTCTACCCCGATCAGAAACACCTTTGTATGAATGTTCAAAGAAGGACTTCGAAGTAGTGTTGGAAAGAAATTGTAGATCATAGAGTTCAGCAGAAGGTTTCGATTTCGAGGTTCTTTTCGTCCTTCGTTCGTTTTCATCTACCGGTATTAGGAATTTTATGACCCGCACTTTCTAACGCCCCTTATAAGATCATATCAGCGAAGCTAGCTTCAGTATTACCGCCATGCTACCGTAACCCAAAGCGGCGCCCAGTTAATTGTAACTCCGCAGTGGACGTACGTATAACACTGAACTTTACGCCAGTACCACTACGAGAATTGTGCGGAAACGCTTGCATATACTGCACTTTCAAGGATGGACGGGAATTTCGTGCACATTTCACTTATGCTTTCTTTCGTCTAGACGGATGCTCTTTATGCCTGGCATATGCGCAGCGTATGCCAAAAAAAGAAACTCTAGGTCGAGACATATCATGTCCCCTTGACCATACTACGCTTACAACGCTTTTTTCTAGCTATTTGCAATTGGAGAATAATTACATGAATATAAAGAGCCGAATTACTTTTAACTTACTCCAGACCAGAATATTCTTTTACAAGTGGTTTCCCAACTTATCGCATGAAATTTCACTGCATGCTTAATTATTGGAACAGTAGTGATCTGATTACTGACATGACATTTTTCGTGACGATACCATTTGGCGCCAGTTTGGTGCAACTACAGTTCAGACTCAGTTCGCTACAGACTGGTAGTTAGATTGGAGAGGTAATCCAGGGTCTCGAGTGCAAACACGACATAGTTCTTACAAGGGAGGTCGTTCAGGGCGTGCCCCGCTTTTTCGAAACGGTTTATTGCACTTTGTAGGGCCTTGCCCATGAACCATAAAAGTGGGCTTCGTTTTGGCTGAGCGGCCCCTGGAATGCCAAAAAAGGAGCGAAAAAGAAACCTATGGAAACTGATTGTTTTTGAGCCTCTACGAGCTGTAAACCGCTTGAAACTTTGACCAGTTGCTGAATGGAGGGACCCTATAAAGGTACTATCGGAATCGAAGAGAAAAGTAGTCGGGGTATGGGGTCTTACTTGTGG